AGAAGCAGACATACAGAAAGAAGCAAAGATACAAAAGGCAACTGTCAACCAGCTCCACAGGCGGCCACATCCAGGGAACACACAGCCAGGCAGACGAGGCTCAACCCAGCTCCCATGTCAGAGGATGAAGAGAGCATTTAGTGATCCCATTTATGAGAAATAAACATTTCTCCATAATGAAAAGACAATCCTGCCAAGAGGTCATAAGGAACACTGAAAGACACTATACCCATAATGAAACATGAAGGCAGAATTATGCTCTGAGATGACTGTTGAAACAAGGATCGGGTTATGGTGTCCTAAATAAAACGCTCCAGGTATCAGTGAGATTTATTGAATGTTAGGGTGAGAGATGAAGTGGGATCATTTCTTTCAATGTCACTGTGTATTTCTAGCAAATATACAGATAATCAAAAATATTGAACACTCCAGAAATAATTTATTTTAAAGAACTTTTTCAGAGCCTAGATGTAAATTTGATTAAATGCTATTTAGATTGGGTAAATACTAGAACAATCAAGATGCTGTGATCAGACACACTCCAACCATATAATAAATAATTAATTTAATTAAATCCTGAAGCCTGACTATAGCATTTTTCAATTCTCTAATAAATCTGCTTGCTTTTCAGGGAATTATTCAGGATTGATAGAAAATGTTTAAAAAAACATAAAGAGAATATATTTTCAGTGTGGTTTAATATTTTGAAATCTTGTCAACGTTGCATTTTGTTTACTCTTTCATTTTAACTTTTTATTAAACACTTTCTCTGTAAGGTTATTTTAATGTGTGTGAGTGTTTTCATGGCTGACAGTAGAGGTCAGTGTTACTCTTTACTTAAAAATAGTCTTAGTAGTTTTTATTTTATAAAGACATGCTGTCACATTACTTCCCTGCTGAAATGCAGTATTACAACAGGAAGTATTCAACATTTTTCAGTTATTAGTTTTTAATGAGCCCTTAATTTTGCTCTAAGGGATAAATAGTAGAACTGTTATATAACTGTAAACTGTTATTCTCTATGACTAGTTGGCATTCAATGCTTATTAATTTAGGGTAAACTGCTATGAACCAAGATAAGGGTTCTTTGAATATGGATTATAAGTAAAACATTCACAAACTATATGAACTAATAATTTTTAAATCAACAGACATTGATGGTATGAAAATGGAGGGAAACCCATCCACCCAACACTTTTACGACAACAATGCTGTTTTGAAATTGCTTTTTATGTATTTTAGGAACAATATTCAGATAGTATGTTTTAAGAAATTTGTTTTTAGTTAATTTGGTCAATTCTACCTTTATTTCTTTTTCTGTTATTGTAAAAAAAAAATGTTTCTCTAACAATAATTCTTGTATGTCTTCAAATNTGTTTCTCTAACAATAATTCTTGTATGTCTTCAAATCTGTTTGTGCATTTTTCCTTTACTGTTATTTATACTGACATCATATACCACTTTAATCAATTTAAAACACTCAAGATAACATCTCTACGGAATTAATTAGTATAAATAAGGTTGCTATTTAATTTGGGGAACAACTTTACGATTACAGCTAAATCTGTAAAATTGTCTTGATTTTATTCCCCACAAGATGGCGCTAAATCCATCTGTTTTAAAAAAAAAACTAGTGGTGTAAAAAAACTGGTTGCTTTATCTTGGCTTAGCAAACACTTTTACTGTGCTTTATGACTTGCAAATATATTGGAATAAATGTATTTATAAGCAGATCACTCTGAGCGAGAACAAACTCATTCAGTCATATTAAGAAAAGGCCTAGTTGGAGGCAATGTTGCATATTTGTTGTCAAAAGTTAGCTTGTAAGCTCCAAAATTATTTGAACTGTCATGCTCAGTTAGGAGAAAATCATTAAGATTCCACTTAAGTTTCCCTCTTTACTGTCCACATTTGCTAGTTAAACACTTATTACATGCACCATTAGATTTGATGGGGGCCTATTAAAGAGATTATGTGATTGATCAGTAGCCGAAGGACAAAGGCAAGGAACTTTGCTGCAGCCTCAGGTTTGTGTGAAAAGCTTGAGAAGATTTCTGACAAGAAAACATGTCAGAACCAGCAGAGGCCCTACTGACAGGAATGTGCATCAATCTCTGATTTAGTTTATTCACGAACCTGTAGGGCAAAATGAAAACATTAAGCTAACACCTTAAAGTTTTAGTGGGGCATGTT